TTAAACTCTCAGACACTGCCTTTTTTGGGTCCCTTGTATTAGTATCATAACCACTTTTTCTCTACTCAATATTGCGGTTTTGTTTCAATGTTCACCTGCATGGATCGCTTGCCATTTGCTAACTTATATCCTGCAGTGTCTTTGCGTTTTTGAGAATCCTAGAAAGCAAGAAATACAAAACATTTATTGATTTATAAAACTTTTAGTGACAAGCCGGACAGATAGAGAGGCAAACTTCCCCATTTCACTGATAAGCTTTCCAATGTGATCAGATAAAAGGTTTATTTATTTATTTGTTTCTTATTTATCCTTTTATTTTTATTTATTTTTTTTTTTTGTTTCAAACAAAATTTTGTAAATTGTCCTCAGAAAGCCACCCGAAAGCCTGGAATTGGTGAAAATTTTATTTTCAAATCCCCTTTAAAATCCTGCTGAGGGCAGGGTATGTGGGTAGTCCCCGGGCGATCTCGGCTCGGTTAAGGAATTTTGGCCAATGTTGCCTTCACCGCAAAAATTACTCCCACATTTCTTTAAATCTTTTTTTTTTTTTTTAATTTTTGACTTCAACCAGTCAACGAAAATCGACCGAAATTGCCGGCGATTTAGCCGAACTTTAACTCTTTTCTTTTTTTGCTCTTGAAGAACATATGGCCGACAGAACCGATAAAAGTCGCCAGTGAGGCAAAATGCAAAACAAATGTTTTCTTCAATCGATTTTTGCTCCGATTCCGAAGTAGATGGTCTAATAGCTTCCATTTTCTCATGATAGCACTTTCGCCGTCGACATTCTTCTTGACTGCTAAAACAGCTCCGAAAACAACCAAGTTCATTTTTTTTTGTCGCGTATTATTGCTTGGCAACTGTGGACAAAACCTAAAGCGATAGAAATTTAGCAAAACGGTGCCGATTCACTCTGTGTCGCTCAGGGATACACGCATGACCCCGTACCAGGTAAATTTCGACAAATTTATAAACAAGATAGTTAACTTGTGATAACTAGCCGCTCTCTCCAGCGAAAGTGTCGGTGGGAATTAGTATGGTTAACTGTTCCTTGACACAAGTTTAAAACTGAAGTGAAATTCTCTAGCCGGTAATGTCTGGAAATCTTTAGTAATCTGCTCCTAGTCAACAGGGTCGCACCGGAGCCCCAGAAGTGGTGATTTCAGAATAGCAATAGCGTCGCAAACCAATCATTGCCTCATGATCATGAAACTGGGAGAAAACTGTATAATACGCGATCAGTACTTACCAGAAAAAACCTCCCTGTATTACATTTAGAGCAAGTTAGGGGTGCTATGGCCTTTATCTCCAGCAATGAACTAGAAAAAAGTATCCAAACAAAACCAAGGACTGTAAGACTTCCCTCCATCTTGATTTCTTGGCAGCTTGTTAAAGAATACTGAAGTATATTCAGTAATATTGGTCCCCTAATATAACAACCAACACTTTCAAAGACAATTAAAAGGATATGAAAACTAGGTTTTTGACAGCCAATTTGCAATAATAAGGCTTGTCAGCTAGATAAACTAAACAGTTCCCGAAACATTTTTTAATTTAGAGGAAATAATTTATGCGAACTAAGTATTTATTTCTAACAATTCAATTCCAGCACATGTCTTAAAAGATATTAAAAGTGTACAAATATATTTGTTCATCTGTATACAGCTGGTCATACAAATTGAAAACTAAACTATGCCGTAAAGGTTATCACGCTGACATGAAAAATATTCCACGTGGGTGAAGTCTGACATGTCTCCGGGCGCTCCGCACATGCCCGTTTAAAACTAGGAACGTACCAAAACGTTGAATCGTAAATTAAAAGGCGTATTTCGTTTCCATTCTCCTTTCTTTTATGTAATTTAATTTTTGTTCCTTTTACTTTTATGTTCCCAATTTGTCATAACATTAAGTCTCTGTATGTTTGTTCATTATGAGCCATTAAAAGAAGCGAAAACGCCTACATGGGAACCATTAAGGGAAGACCTAAGTGGCCGGCAGGTCTTCCTTTCGCAGTTATGACGCGATTAAAAACAGGAGAATTTATTATAACAATTATCAACATTTTATGCGAACAAACTAATAACACAGCAATAAAACTGCAAGCCAGAATGTTTTTTGATAATCAGTATTTATCTAAGACATAGTTAATTGAGTGGAATGGTTATGAAACCCGTCAGACTCCTTTGTTATATGTTTTTGTGGACCTGAAAGTGCACAACGTTCAAAAGAATTCCTATCATTTTGATTGTATTGACCAATAAAAACGTTGCATTAATTTATTCCGTAACAATTTGCCAACAGAAAACAAAGGATTGTGCACTTTCAGGGTGCTTCCAACATAAACTGCAGCACTGTTGTT